CTTATGGGAATAAAATACCATGAAGCATTAAAAAAAAGTACAAATATTTCATTTCTCAATGACTTGTAAAGGTATAAACTGTAAAAATTAATTAACTAATTAATTAATAGATGGAAGGGAGGAAGGGGGGAGTGAGGGAGGGATGAACTAAAACAAAAAGCCACATAAATGTCCGATAAAAAAGAAAAAGTTGATATGCTAAATCAACAGAGTGTAATATAACATAATCATTCATAATTATGAAGTCTCTTAAGACCCAGGAGAAAGTATAATAAAATTTCAAAATCAGAAATGCTGCAGACATGATGACTGCAACTATTTAAAATATGCACATGTATGTGGATTGGAAATCAACTTTCCTCTGTGAAAGTGAGAATGTCATCAGGAGAGCAAAATTATGGAAGCTTTTTTTCTTCTTTTTGAAAATATTATTCAATTTGCTATATTTCTATCTTCAATGATAAAAGAAAGCACTTCAATTTAGAATATATATGGCTGACTGGGGCGCCTGGGTGGCTCAGATGGTTAAGCGTCTGCCTTCGGTTCAGGTCATGATCTCAGGGTCCTGGGATTGAGTCCCGCATCGGCCTCCCTGCTCCTTGGGAGCCTGCTTCTCCCTCTGCCTCTCTCTCTCTCTCTCTGTCTCTCATGAATAAATAAATAAAATCTTTAAAAAAAAAAAAGAATATATATGGCTGACTAATTTATAAACTTGAGCACAAAGTTCTTTTCTTTTTTTTTTTTTAAGATTTTATTTATTTATTTGAGACAGAGAGAATGAGAGACAAAGAGCATGAGAGGGAGGAGGGTCAGAGGGAGAAGCAGAGGGAGAAGTATTGTCTGCTTGTGTGCATTTTGGCCCCTCACAGGAGAGAGAAAGGAAGTGATTAATTTTTGAGTGCCCATTTTGAGCCTTCTATATTGAATACATGATACCAATGTTTCTAAACAACCACTCTGAGGTAACTACAATATTCTCCATTTCTCAGATGAGGACAGTGGGGCTCTGTTTCTGACATTTCCCAAGTTCACTTGCTCACAAGGGAATAAAACTGGCTTTCTCCCTCCTAATTATTTCACTTTTCTCTCCCTCTTTCTCTCTCTTTCCCTCTTTGTTCTCCTGCCTTACATAAAAACAATGAAGAGATGAAAAACTGAATCCATTTAAAGGAATAAAATAATATTGTCACTCAAGCATTCAATTTCCCGTAGGCATTTGTTATTAGAATCCCAATAAATATCAGAATGTGATACCTGAGTTTCCACTGGGCAAAACCAAAAAGGCAGCCTCATGTTACAGCTTTGGTAAACAACGGAGTAGTAAAGATGGCGAGAAGCCATAGCATATAGGGCACAATGTAGACATTCTGTAGAAAAAGTATATCCAACTGTGGAGCATACTCATGTTTGGAGATAGAAGGCAAAATGAAAGGTATAAACCAGACTTAAAGCCAAAGAGAATCATTTCTATCCCCATATTCTTGGCAGCTGCAGCTGACTGAACAACATGTCTTGGTGCTCACAGTTGAGACTTCCTTAGCAGGTGCAGCATAGGTCTGCTTTCCTTATTTGTTCATTATCAAATTAAAATGTAAATAAAGCTTGGAGAAATAATTTTAAGTACACTAATGGTCAAAATATTCTAATCATTTATTTTATTCTTAATATATTGTTTGGGAAATGGTGCTTTTGTTATAAGCACAGGTCATAACATGTCATAAATAAATTATGTACTTTTTAATCTGATTAATTAAAACCAAAGCACTCAAATGACCATATAGTCCAAAGAGTTTTAGTCCCTCATTTTATTACATACCACAATGGCCAGGTGCATTAACATACGGATATCCAAAAAAGCAACTCTCAAATCAATGACCAATATTAGATTTTTTTTTAGATTGTTGTCTCTCAGTCCCCATATGCCTAGGGATTATATCTCTGTTCATTTCCTTCTCAAGTATCTAACTGTTTCTTGGATATTTCTAACTTTGTTTTGGTAAATTCTATAGTTACATTTATCACCATTTTATTCATTCATAAAGGGGTACATATCAATGAAATTTCCAAAATATGCCTGTGGAAAATCTCTTACTGTAGTCATCTTCTATCAGTTGGGAGACGTTGAGATAGCCTTCAACACCAAAAAAATTTTTTTCAATGTAAATTGTCAATTACATTGATACTTATCAATGAAATATTTCTTACAGTTAGTAGAAGTGATCATTTGGGGTGCACAATCATCTTTATGTGACTTTTTTTTAAAGTAAAGAATAAGTGATCTTATGAGACTCATGGAAATTTAAGAATTTATTTAGCTATAGACACCTGAAATCTTAACAAATAATTACTTAACATAACAGGTGTTTGATCTTGGACTTCCAGCCTCTAGAACAGTGAGAAAGACATTTTTGTCACAGTTAGTTCTCACTGCTGTTTCTGAGCTACCCAATCTATGGTATTTTGTTATAGCAGCCCAAATAGACTAAGAAAGCTGGTTCTGAGAAGTTGGGGTGCTGTTGTAACAAATACCTTGTACTTCCTATTTGAACTTCTCTGATAGATCAGCTCCTCTGGGTCAAAGAGTCCCTTTCCTGTTTCTGACCACATATAGTGCTACTGGTTATAATGAGCAGGGTTATGTCCTTCAGGGACTGGAGCCTGGTGAGATGCCTATATTATCTGAAAGCTGGGAGTCTGAGCTGGAAGGCAGATCTGAAAGTCCTTTGAGAATTCCCCTTGGTTCAGTCTCCCTCCAAGAGTTGACCAGGGGAGGGCATGGTTTCAGGGAATATGATAACTTACATTACAGTCACCACAATAAACAAGTCACCAAATTATCCCTGACACCCTCAAAGTCAGGGGCAAGGTTATCTCATAATCCATGTAACAAGTTCCATGCACATCCATTAAGGACCATTTTAAAAACTGGAAAATGTTAAAAGCTTCAGGGATAGTGAAGCTGAATTCACTGTAATTATGTAACTTTTGAAACTTAGGTCCCTTTAGCAGGAACCTTGAAAATCTCCTTCAGTGCAAACCTGCAGCTATATATACATGATATCCAGAAAGGAACACATTTTCCCAGCCTTAGGGACAATGTGCTTGAATTCCCTTGGAAGTGCATTTAAATTAGCTGGACTACTCCTCATGATGAAAATTCACTGGTTCACTATACAGCTAGACCCACTGTAGATCACTAAAGTTAGTATGTGGAAGAAAAATGTACCCAATCTATGCAAAAGGTATAGGTCAGTCTGAAAACCATCCATGCTGAAGGACTAGAGGGATAATATATTTCTGATCATTTGCTCCAGTACCTATGACTTCCAGCTTTAATTATGTTATTACAAAAACTGTCTCCTGGGAGACTACTGAGATTTTTGTTCCAAAATTGCATCTGATACAATTACTTGCAAACTTTGAGACATAAATTAGCTTACTTTTCAATTTTTCTACCTGGCTGATTTAGAGCTATAACAAATTGCAATGAAATGCAAGAAACTTTTTGCCAAGGCTAGCTCCACTGAAAATAAAAAAAAAAAAATTATTTTATTGTAGCCAAGGAGTGGGTTTTGCACTAATAACTGGCATGAAGTGGATTTTCACTAAGTGTGTATGGTGTGCATGCACACGCATTCCTTCATTCAGTCTATTTTTTACCCATCTTCTTGATTGCTGCCTTCAGAGGCTGACTCATATGAGCTACATCAACAGCTTTTGGTACTTTCTGGCTTCCACTTGGATTTACCCAAAGGGTATCCCCAGCAGTTGCCAAAGGAGAGTAAGATCACGGCACTTATTCCACTAGCTATCTTCTTTAAGTAACTTGTATCTCTTAAAAGATCTTTTCTCCTGGCACAATGAACATCTTGTTTACTCTGTCCATGGTCCTGAAACAATTTCTTCCAACAATTTCTTCCAGTTCTCCCTTTAGGCCTGGGTCAGGGAGATGGGAGATGGCCATACACTTTGTGATCTTTATGATGCAGGAAATCTGGGAGTTTCTTTCCTGCCACCTAAGTAGCAGGAGGAAGGAGGAGTAAAGGAAAAACAGTGCCTTCCCCTGACAAGTTTCCAGGTATCAGTGGGAAAGAGAATACAAGATGGCAACACCTAGGATTAAGGGAGTCCATTCTTGCTGAAGGATTCATTATAGAAAGGAGATAAATGATTATCAAGGGGAATACCATGAAAACATTTGCTCTGAGCAGGAGGTTGCCCATCACCAGATATCACAAAGTTTCTGGCTTTCAGACAAATAGAAATTTCTCCACACAAAAGTTTCCAGTAGCTTCCTGCAGTTTTTATGATGCTGAACACTGACCCCCAAAAAATAAGCTTCAATAAAACTTTACTCCTCTAAACTGAGCATTTTATTGCTTCTTTGTTAATTAGATATCTTTTATAATCATGCATAGTGTTTGTTTCACTTTCATGCCTACTACTTATACTCATCCCAGTGGATCCAGCTTCTTTGGATTCATATCTCACATAATTTAATACTATAGAGATTTCCAAATTTACATTAAAAAATAAGTGTTCTCCAAATTGATTCCTGGTTAAAATCCAGGAGTCCAACCAATATTTCATCATTGCAAGGTGCAAGAATGACCCAATTCATCAAAACAGTGGTTTTAAAACCAGATATCTGAACTATAAGGGTAGGCAGTGCAATGAGATGGTTAAGGACATTTAATTCAGGGCCATCAGGCAGATCTGGCTCCCGTCTTGACTTTGACAGTTACTGGATGTGTGACTCTTTGCAGGTTACTGATATTCAAGAAGCCCCAGTTTCATCACCCATATACAAGCAAATCTGTATATGGAGACAATACCTACCCCACAGGGTCACTGTACTTATAAGTGAAAAAACGCAAGCAAACTGAGCACAGAACCTGGTACAGAGTAAAAGTTTGACAAATCTGAACTATTATCATCTATTGGACATGCCTTAAAGGAGACCCGAGACTGAGTGAAATGAGGACTCCCTCCCATCTTACCTCCCAAAGCAGCTCTGCTATTACTCAGTTTCCATTTTGGGTTTTCAGTGCAGATTCTATTTGAAGAGAAATTTTCACTATGAAAAAAAAAAAGATGAAAATCAAGATTTTAAGAAAATAATAATAATCAACATTCTTTGAGTATTTATTACATTCTAGACACTATTCTGAGTGCTTCTTATGCATTCATTAATTTTCACAGCAAACTCTGTGAAAGGAATAATTATCTACACTTTATAGATAAGCAAAAGAAGACAAAAAGAAGATAGGTAATTTGATCAAGTCTACCTACTTAATAACAGGATATGGACTAGCAATGAAAGATCTAAGAATTTAGCAATCCAGGAACAAACTATGGTAGCCAAAAATATTTCCAGCAGCCTATGTACATGTAAAATACTATAAACTGTTCCAGTGAAAAGTCACAAACTTTACAGTCAGGTAGACTTGGTTCAAATCCAAGTTTTGGCCACAGTAGGTGCATATTCTCTATTAGAACTCTCAAAGGGACAAATACCCAGCTCTTTACTGGTATAAGGATTTAGAGATTAACTGGAAAAAATACCAGATGTCTTACAAGCCAAAGCATAAACAATTAAAAAAAAAAAAAAAGTGTCTATAGGCATGACTAAATGACTCCTTAAATCACTGGTTTAGGAGATCCCTACCTAATGAGACAAATCCCATTTTCTATTATAACAAAAGAAAATTTCAAATGCTTGTTTTGCTGGCCTTTCTTGCAACTGAGGCTCAGGGATGTAGCCCCTTCTCCCCCAATCACATATACACATCCTAGATTTTGAATCATGTATTAGTAGTGCAAAACCCACTAACTACGGAGTCTATTCTGCAGAGGGTGCCATCAGCAGATAGGTTCCATCATTGGTAAGCTACACTGCAGATCTAAAGATAGTGCCATGGATCAGTGTTAACTGTGTCTGCAGAGTAAACTGTGGTAACTATGACCAAGTCAGTGCTGTGGTATCTAGACCAGTTCTTCAGTGTCATTTGGGGAACTGTTATTGGCTACATAGTTTCTAACCTTGATTTTGTATCATTTTTAGAGATTCTGACAGCTGCCAATAAGCTTTCCATAAATCTTCTGCTTAGAGTAGTTAGTTATTACTGTTGCTTGTACTTAATTGTCCTGACTGATACAGTAGCTGATGCATAAATTCAGATGTTTCAGGAAGCCTTGACAAATGACTAGGAAATACATATAATTTGTTTCCAGGTGAGTGTTTTTGCTCTGTCCTGTAGAGAGACTGGCTAACCCCTTACTGACATCTACTTGTTGGAAGAGAAACATCATAGATAGGTATTTCATGTTGTATTAGAGAAACAGATTCTACTGATTCTGACAGATAAAGATTGCCTTTAAAGGGAAAAGCTAGCTTGACAGAAAAAGAAAGTGTGCCCTTTGCTATATTTTGATGTGAATTTTATAAGGTTCCTGTACAATATGGCGCTGGGTGTTATCCTTGAAAGATGGTAACTGGTCCAGTGCCAAACTCATAAAAGGCTCTTGGGAAAGACTTCTTAATTTGACTATATGAAGCACAGTATATGAACATTCCCTAATCATATTTTTACCAGTTTCTGAACAGAATGTTGCTTTGGCTGGTGATTTTAGAATAAGAGCTATTCTGAAGAAAATCACATAGCAGAACTTTTCATTCAGAAACCTAGAAATCCACTTCTTAACACAAGATGCCTTCTGTAGTTCAGAGCTCAGGGAGAGGGGAATTGAAAAGATGCTGGGATATTAGAAAGAAGACTCATTTATCTCTCTGAAGTTGTGCTTTTAAGCCAAGATCACACACTCCTTAGGGGGCAAGAAAGCATCCAATGACTACCAGCCTTGGGCATCCTATCTTTTTCATGGAAATACACTTAATTATCTCACTTGACCCAACTCTTACTTCTGCTATCCCATCCAGGGACTTCTGATCTTCTGTGTTTTATGTTTTATTTTCAGCTTCAGGTGTACTTGGATGTTAGGATTTTCCTTGGCTTTGAATCTCTAAGCTTCTTGGAAATTGACTTGAACTCATGTGAACACTTTTTTCCTCATCTGGATGCTTCAGATGCCCATCCCTCCTGACTCAGTTTTATTCCACTACATCTGGGCACAAATTCAGGGAAATGATGACCCAGCCTGCTCCAAAAATCAAAAAGGATATCAAATACCACGTTCATCAGTGAGAAGGCCTGCCCCTGAAAGAACAAAATCTCCAACTAAAACCAGTTAAAACAACACTGGCACTTTCTATCATACCAAATCAGAAGCCTAGAGGTAGGAGGTGCTAGTGTTGGAGCAGATATTCAGCACTATTATCAAAGATCCAAACTCTTTCCAAATTTTCTCTCTGCCATCCCTGTGTTGGCAATGAATCCCAATATGGCAGGGAGGTTGCTGCCACAGCTTGGGCACAACAGCCTTTGAAGCAGAAAAAAGAAGCCTGGTGAATTGGTGGCTGGGAAGATGAAGGAGTAGGAGGACCCTAAGCCCACATCCTCCCAATGATACCACTAGATAACACTTACATCAGTGTAAATAACCCAGAAAATAACCCAAAGACTAGCAGAACAAACTCCACAACTAAATTTAGAGAAGAGGCCACATCAAAGAGGGTAGGAAGGGCAGAGACACAGTGGGGAGCTAAACAGACCATGGGACTGTCCACTGGAGGGAGGGACCCACAGGCATGGAGAAGGGAGAGAAAAAGATGATCACGCTGGGGAGCCCACACAGAGAAGATGAATCCCTGTAACATTTGGCTTTGAAAACCAGAGGGGCTGAATTTCTTGATTTCTTACAACCAGAGTGACTTAAAGTCTGAAATGTTAAAAATGATCAAGCTTGCTTCTGGAAGAGCTTGTTCTGCTAGGCTTTGGGTTATTTTCTGAGTCCCCACCCTTCAAGAGACAGCACAACAGTCTATGGAGATAGAGCATAGAAGCAGCAGTTTGAAATATGTCTGGGGCATACAGGAAGGAAAGTTGTTTACTAATCTCAGAGCATGTCCCAGAGGGACAGAGATCCCTGGGAGACTCTTCAGGAACAAAGGAGCTGGAAGGCACCATTTCCCTCCCCCGCCCTAAAGCATAAACACTCAGCAACCTGTGAAAAACAGCCTAGTGCTGATACTCACTACCTAACTTGCTACCACCCCCACCCGCCTACGCTCCCATCCCCAGCCCCCCGCCGTAGATCCACCCTTTCCACTCACACTTGCCTCAGTCCCAGCTGTATGAGTCCCCTCCCTCAGAAGACCAGGATAAACCTTGCAAACATCATACCTTACCACCTGCATACTTTTCAAAACCTCATTCTAGCTGCTGCAACAGTGGATCCCCTCCCATGGAGGACAGGCATGCACCTTGTTAAAATTGCACACCCTGCCCACACACACTTTGTGGATCTAAACAGCTGGCCCTGGTCTCAGCAATGGTTGCACATCCCCTCTCCCTGATGCACAAACCCTGCAGTCACTGTGTGCCCCACCCCCCAGCACATTTGGATCTTCCCCCTCCAATATGCCCTTGGCCAGAGCCCATTCAAATCAGGGCCACAAGCCTGGCAATGTGCAAACAGCCCCAACAGGGGCTAGCACCATTCCAAAGTGACTCCTGCCATGAGGAGAAGGAAAGATAACCACACACATCAGTCAGACTGTGGCTTCAGCAGTGGACTGGGGGGCAGACAGCTTTTCTGATTCTAGGCCCTGCCCACCAAAAGCTTCTCAGGGAATAACACAGGGAAAGCACCCTAAAGTATGGTGCTACTGCATTTCTGGTAAATGCCTGGTCTGACTCAACTCAAGCCCAAGGCAGTCCCAGACTAGCCCACTAACACCTCAGGGACCAAACACTGCCCCCAACAGGCAAAGAGAGCCACTGCAGATGACCTGACTGAAGGCAAAGTCAACTATGTTGACTGAAAATCAACAAGAAAACAATGGCTTTGAATAACACACTGGACTGGATGGATTTAACAAATATGTTCAGAACATTCCATCCTAAAACAGCAGAATACATATTCTTTTCAAGTGAACATGGAACATTCTTCAGAATAGATCACATATTAGGCCACAAAATAAGTTTCAACAAATTCAAAAAGATTGAAGTCATACCATGTATTTTTTCTGACCACAACTCTATGAAACTAGAAATCAACCACAAGAAAAAAATCTGGAAAGAGGACAAATATATGGAGGTTTAAATAACATGCTACTAAACAATGAACCAAGAAATTAAAGAAGAAATTAAAAAATACATGGAAACAAATGAAAATGAAAACATAACAGTCCAAAACTTTAGGATGTGGCAAAGATAGTTCTAAGAGAGAAGTTTATAGCAATACAGGCCTACCTCAAGAAGCAAGAAAATTCTCAAATAAACAACCTAACCTTTATTTACTAGAAAGAGAAAAAAAAAAACAAAACTCAAAACCAGCAGAAGGAAGGATAAAATGAAGTTTAGAGCAGAAACAAATGATATAGAAACCAAAAACACAACAACAACAACAAACCAATAGAACAGACTAAAGAAACCAGGAGCTTGTTCTTTGAAAAGATCAACAAAATTGATAAACCTGTAGCCAGAATCATCAAAAAAAAATAAAAAAAGAGGGGGGACTCAAATAAACAAAATCAGAAATGAAAGAAATAACAACCAGACACCACAGAAATACAAATGATTGTAAGAAAATATAATGAAAAACTACATGCCAAAAATTGGACAACCTAGAAGAAATGGATAAATACCTAGAAACATATAACCTAACAAAACTGAAGCAGGAAGAAATATAAAATTTGAACAGACTGAACATCAGCAATGAAACTGAATCAGCAATCAAAAAACTCCGAACAAATAAAAGTTCAAGGCCAGATGGCTTCACAGGTGAATTCTACCAAACATTTAAAGAGTTAATACCTATTCTTTTCAAACTTTCCAAAAAATAGAAGAGGAAAGAAAACCCAAATTCTATGAAGCCAGCATTACCTTGAAGCCAAAACCAGATAAAGACACCACAAAAAAAGAAAACTACAGGACAACATCCCTGATAAATATAGATGCAAACATCCTCAACAAAATCTTATCAAACTGAATCCAAAAATACATTTTAAAAAATCACTCACAGGGGGCGCCTGGGTGGTTCAGTTGTTAAGCATCTGCCTTCGGCTCAAGTCATGATCCCAGGGTCCTGGCATCGAGCCCCGCATTGGGCTCCCTGCTCCGCGGGAAGCCTGCTTCTCCCTCTCCTACTCCCCCTGGCTGTGTTCCCTCTCTGGCTGTCTCTGTGTCAAATAAATAAAATCTTAAAAACAAAAATCACTCACAGTGATCAAGTGGGATTTATTCCTGGGATGCAAGAGTAGTTCAGTATTTGCAAATCAATCAACATGAGACATCACATCAATAAAAGAAAGGATAAAAACCATATGGTCATTTCAACAGATGCAGAAAAAGCATTTGACAAAGTACATCTATTCATGATAAAAACTCTCAGCAAAGTTGGTTTAGAAGAAACAACTCTACATAATAAAGGCCTTCATGAAAAACCCACAGCTAACATCATACTCAATGGGGAAAAAATGACAGCTTTTCCCCCAAAGTCAGGAACAAAACATGGCTGTCCACTCTCACCACTTTTATTCAACATAGCACTGGAAGTCCTAACCACAGCAATCAGACAAGAAAAAGGAATAAAAGGCATCCAAATTGGTAAGGAAGAAGTACAACTTTCACTACTTGCAGATGACATGGTTCTGTATATAGACAACCCAAAAGACTCCACCACAAAACTACTAGAATTGATAAATGAATTCCCTAACGTCACAGGATTCAAAATCAGTGTACAGAAATCTGTTCCATTTCTAAACACTGATAATCAAGCAGCAGAAATGAAGTTAAGAAAACAATCCCATTTACAATTGCACTAAAAAGAATAAAGTATCTAGGATTAAACTTAACCAAGTTAAGACCTACACACTGAAAACACTGATGAAAGAAACTGAAGATAACACCAAGAAATGAAAAGATATTCTATACTCATGGATTGGAAGAACAAATATTAAAATGTCTGTACTACCCAACACAATCTACACATTTAATACAATCAAATCAAAATACCAACAATATTTTTCACAGAACTAGAATAAACAATCCTAACATTTGTTTGGAACCACAAAGACCCTGAATAGCCAACACAATCTTGAAAAAGAAAAAAAAAATGGAGGTACCAGAATTCTAGACTTCAAGTTATGTTAAAAAGCTACAGTAATCAAAACAGTATGGTACTGGCACAAAAACAGACACCTAGATCAATGGAACAGAATAGAAAGCCCAGAAATAAACCCTCAGTATATGGTCAATTAATCTTCAACAAAAGACAAAAGAATATCCAATGGGAAAAAGAAGTCCCTTCAACAAATGGTGTTGGAAAAACTGGATAGCTACATGCAAAAGAATGAAACTGTTTGACCACTTTGTTACACCACACACAAAAATAAACTGAAAATAGAGTAAGGACCTAATTGTGAGATCTGAAACCATGGAAATCCTAGAAGAGAGCACAAGGAGTAATTTCTCTGACATTGGCCATTACAACATCTTTCTAGATAATGTCTCCTGAGGCAAGGGAAATAAAAGCAAAAATAACCTATTGAGACTACATCAAAATAAAAAGCTTCTATACAGTGAAGGATACAACCAACAAAACTAAAATACAACCTGCAGAATGGGAGAAGATATTTGCAAATAACATATCAGATAAACGGTTAGTATCCAAAATATATAAAGAACTTATACAACACAACACCCAAAAACCCCAATAATACAATTAAAAAATTGGCAGAAAACATGAACAGACACTTCTCCAAAAACATACAGATGCCAATGGATACATGAAAAGATGCTCAACATCACTGATCATCAGGGAAATGTAAATGAAAATTACAATGAGATATCACCCCACACCTGTCAGAAGGCTAAAATCAAAAACTCAAGAAACAAAAAGTGTTGGTGAGGATGTGGAGAAAAAGGAACCCTCAAGCACTGTTGGGAATGCAAACTGGTGCAGCCACTGTGGAAAACAGTATGGAGTTTCCTCAAACAGTTAAAAATAGAACTACCCTAAGATCCAGTAATTGCTCTACTGGCTATTTATCCAAAGAATACAAAAACATTAATTTGAAGGGATATATGCATTCCTATGTTTATAGCAGCATTATTTACCAGAGCCAAATATGTAAGCAGCCCAAGTATCCACTGATAGATGAATGGATAAAGAAGAGGTACACACATGCACACACACACACACAGTGGAATATTACTCAGCCATAAAAAGGAATAAAATCTTGCCATTTGCAACTACATGGATTGACCTAGAGTATATAATTCTAAGCAAAGTAAGTCAGTCAGAGAAAGACGAGTACCATGTGATTTCACTCTTTTGTGGAATTTAAGAAACAAAACAGATGAACAATGGGAAAACAAGGAGACAAACCAAAAGACAGACTCAACTGCAGCAAACAAATAGAGGGTTATCAGAGGGGTGGTGGGTGGGGGAAATGGTTGAAATAGGCAAAGGGGATTAAGAGTACACTTAACTTGATGAGCAACAGGTAATATATGGAATTGTTGAATAACAGTATGTCATTGCTTGTTAACTATGCTGTAATTAAAATGAATTAAAAAAATGTTTGACCCTGACAAAAGAGAAAAAAGCAGCATGGACAAAATAGGTTTCTGCTTACATAGCTTTTCCCAGGAAGGCAAATTATTCCCAGGATATCCTCTGCAGACTTACCTTACATCTCACTGGCCTCCAACTCCCACACCAAAAACTATCACGGTGCTGGGCTCCCTACCACCCAAACCCATTTGGAATCCTGTTGGCAAGAAAGGAAGAGATGCATTTGGATGTGCAACCAAACAAGTCTGCCACCCCAGCACTGCTCAGGAGTAGAGAAAAGCATGGCAGTGTACGTGCTAGCCTTGTTCTTTCCACCTTTTTCTCACAAAATAACCACAGAAAGAAGTGTGGAAACAATTTGCGTCTAATCCAAAGAGGACAGTTAGTATTCATACCTTTGCAAATTGCATATGCAGTCTAAAATAGCAATCTCCTGCCTACAGAAGGAGTCCTTTGGTTACTCTCCCATGAGAAATCATGTTCAGCTACTTGAAACAACATGACTGCTCTTATTTCCTCTCACCACGTTTGGGCTGCAATAAAAGGCAGGGGTGACAAAGCGGCCGCAGAGCTGAGACACCCACAGGAAGGAGGTGAAGCATACCAGTGCTTTCTCTGCAGGATCCTGGAGCACAGCACGGCCCATTCTGGGGAGAAGGCTGCACGTGGACAGAAATGAGCCACAGGCGGATGTAAACGTTGTTTTGTATGGGCCGCGCAACTCTGAGGAACCCATGGCGAGAAATGTGGAAGAAGAAAGACGGACTCAGCTGAAAACTATTCTGACTGCACCATAAAAAAATGCTGCTGACTTGCTGGGAATATCTGCTAAAATAGAAGGCTTTAGGATAGACATCTAAAACAGCATTTATCACAGCACCGACAGTCCTCAGTCAATATCCTGCCCACATAACACACTTGGCCATTGTCTGTGTGAATGGAATAGGTCGGACTGAAATCACCCCCACACAATAGAAACTTCTCTGTGAAGCTTTACTTTTCTTGGGATCATCTACGCCAGAAAACTTGAACCTGAGTCGCCAGCCTTATTTCATCTCAAATAAGTACATTTTATAAATCCTCACGTAAAAAAAACCAGCTCAGCACTGTGAGTAGCGATTGCTCTTTTAAGACAGAACATGACGGCAGTAGTAATATTATAGTAATGTGTAAGACAAGCTTTCATTAATGTTTTATTCGTCAGACTGCAGAAAATGGATACTAATCATATTGATAATCTGTCTTTTGAATGTTAACCTCTTGTGTGCTAAACACCTTGCTTTTATAGATGATCTCTGGTAAAAATCCTCACCAATAACTAAATGAGATTCAGAGAAATCTTCCCAGGATTATGCAACTAATAAGAGATGGGGCTGGTCTTCAAACCCAAGTGTGTCTCATGCTAGAGCCTTTACATTTGCTATCTCCTAATACACTATTTCATATGTGCTAGTATTTCCCATAAAACCAACGACACTTCAGGCCATCAAAAACGTCAAGGGTGAGGATGAGGGAAAGAGGAGAGAGCCACAAAGAAGAGGAGTTGAAACTTGTCCTGTGAGGGGCACAGAAAGACACAGGGGTAAAAGACTGATAAAAAGTCCCCACAACAGGAGGACTAACTATTGAGAAATGCTGCTTTAAATAGTGGGAAAAAGTAAATCAGGAAAATGGAAACAACATGTAATATTTTTGCTGCTGAATCTTAATATTGGCAATATTCATGAAGCAATTCATATCATTACCTTTAAGTTCTAGATTTTCCTCAGTCCAATTAACGAATAGAAATATCTCAAGGATATTTCTGGATGTGCCTGTGAGGGTGTTTTCAGATGAGAGTAGCATTTGAATCAGTGGACTCAGTAGGCTGGCCTACCCAGGGAGGACGGGCATCATCCAATCTGTTGAGGCCCTGAATGGAATAAAAGATGGAGGAAGGAGGAATTCATGTCTTTGCTGCCTGCCTGCCTGATTGAGTTTGGGACATCTCATTTTATCTTCTCTGGATCTCAGACTGGGATTTAAGCCATTGGCCCCTAGTTCTCAGGCCTCCAGACTGGGACTGAATTATACCATCAACTCTCCCAGGTCTACAGTTCACAAATCACAGATCTAGGATTCTCAGCTTTCATCATTACATGAGCCAATTCTTCATAATAAACACTTCTCTCTCTCCCTCCCCGCTCTCTTTCTTCTCTCTCTCTCTTCCCATATTTATACATGAAAAGCACAGGTTGCAAAGTATGTCCTAGTCTATGATCATATACATGATACACACACATACACACACACATCAGTTGTCAGATATCATTTACAAAAACTGAGGTGAATAATGAGAAGGAAAAAATGAACTTTTTGGTTCCTATAACCTATAAATGGGACTTAGGGGTACTAGGGTTGGAGGCGGTAAGATTTGTTGGCCAGAAAAACATAGATGGATTGAAGTAGAGTTTCTTAAAAGAAAAAGGGATACTGTTTTTACCTGAAAAAGAGTAGAAAGTTCTGCTGAACCAGCCAGAAAAATAGTAACTAGTTCCAATTGCATAGATGAGATAGATAGATGGTTAGATAAATAGATGAGCACACATGGAAAAAATAACAGATATGTGACAGAATATTAACAGCTATTTTATCTGGATGGTCATATGATTGGTGACTTTTTTCTTTCTTGGAAGTTCTCTATGTGTGGTGGATATTTGACTCTCAATCCCCATTCCACTCTTTTTCAATTTGGAGGGTCTGGAAAGCGATCATCTCGATCCCCCAATATTCTTGATCCCCCAGTATCATGCTGCTAGCATTCTGGATGCAAATTATGTGCCACTAGTACTTGGGAGAGATTTGGAAGGCAGAATGAAGAAATGACCATCCCCCCCCCCCCCCCAACTGTTGGCTGTTGTTAGTGGTGATGTAGAAACAGGAGATTTTCCTGCAGCTGCGCTCGTGTCCTTGTCCCACTACTCCGGTATAAACACTAAGTGACTTCCCAGTCTCACTTGCTAATATCTGGATCGCAGCTTCAGCTGCTTTTTCTCCAGTGTGAGAGGCAGTTGTCCCAGCACGTGGTAGTGGTTGCTTCAGGGACTAGAGCTCCCCTTGTGGATCAGCTCTGTATTATTCTGGAAACCAGTCCAGAAAGTCTGGCCCAGAAACTGTTCTTTCAGCCCTTCCAACAATTGTGTAAGTCCCTAATATCTTGTATTAAATGCCTTTCTGCTTACTTTTCCTGTTTCCTGCACGCAACCCTACTGATTCACCTACATTTTTCACTCTACCATAAGTATATACCTGTCTTGTATAACAAAAATATTTAAAATCTCATTCCATGCCTCTTCAAGACAAACTTCTCATTTAAGTTGGTCTCTTTACCAGAGACCATATCAGAAATGCCCTTTGTTCATTCTTCTATGTATGCATTTGCATGGTCTGTGTCTTGCTTTGGTCTGTTTGAGCTGAAAGAAACCAAGGCACGTCGTATGTCAGCAAAGTGTTCTAACATTCCTGCCACATAGGGACACTGTAGCGTTCAATCCGACGGGACAACGACAGAGTGAGATGGAGTGGTAGGCAATCCCGAGCCCATAAAAAGTTGAGGTGGAAAGAGACTTTTCAGAAGTCTCGAGCTTATCCTTGAGCAGATAAAAACAAGAGCAAGGATGATTCAGAAGCATGTGCTTGTATATTTTGATCTGTACGTATGATTTCATTATTCTTCTTCTCCCAACAGAACTCTGAATTTTGACAGTGCACCCGGGAAATGAAAATCATCCATGTCTGTTTGGCTTTGATTCATTTCCCCCTCTTACTTCGGATAGAAGAAAGTTAACATGAGACAGTATTATTTTGTGTCCTTCTTAAGTTTTTTTTTTTTTTTTTTTTTAAAGGTAAATGCATATGGGGAAAATCTGGCCCACCAGGAAGTAAATCAAATGTGTAAAAAGGGAGTTTCTGACCCTTCAGCTTTTTAGCCATCCCAGGCAATCCGTCTGTCCAGGGATAACTACCACTACCAGTTTGGATAAAACCTTTGTGACCTCTTTTGATGCAATTAGATACATTACTGTTTTTTTTAATGTGAACTTACTGTACATACTGCTTGCTACCTTGTATTTTCTCTTAACAATATATCATAGACATATTTCCATGTCAGTATCAATTACACTTCTTTCTTTTAAAAGGCTGCATGTGGCCCACTTTACGTGATTTAACTCTCATCCTATTAATTGACCTTGAGATTGTTTCCTCATTTTGATTAATGAAAACATGGAGGCAGTGTGTATCTTAGTGTAGTTTGACTTCACTTGATTGAAAAAAAACCTCCTAAAATGTAGGTTTCATGTGTTATCTACCAAGAAAAATGTTAAGAACTACTTAATTTATATTTTATGAGGCCTGAGGGTAAATTAATATTTTTGTCTATAGTTTGATATAAAATCTGGGTAGGCAAAAAAGTGATGAGTTAGTATATTAAACGTAAAGATCTTGAATCTTTTCCCTGCAGTAGACTGAAAATAAATTCACCAAACAAAAGATCTCATTAACCACTTATGTTCATAGATGAAATTAAGAAGATTCATATATTTAAAATACAGAACGTATCCCCCCCCAAAAGGAAATTGAACAAAGTCAAAAGCCAAGCCTATTCTAAAAAATTTATCAGTAAATATTATCAGTGATTAAGTAAAAGATTAAAAATGTAATTTGGCATAGACATTTCAGTTATCAGAGAAGGTAATATGTCTGAAATAAATTCTAGTTATATTTTGTATGAAGTGTATCCCAAGAAGAGGTTGAAAATAAGAGTTTAAGGTGAAATTGATGGTACAGATCATGCTAGGAAATCACTTATTCTTTAAAGTCCTAAACACTTAATCCCAAGACTCTAAAGAGAACTCTACGCCCCAACCCCGTCAACACTGGCCTCAGAATGCAATCAGCAGGGGGAAAGACAAATCGTCTTTATAACAAATCAGACTTCCAGAGAATCTCAAAGCTCAAAGGGACTTCAAAGGCCACCTAACCTGTTGACCTTGGAATTCCCTTTTCTGCCCCCCAACAAAGGACTACTAGCTTATGTTGCAGGCCGTTCCTTACCTACCACAGAAATTGGTTCTACTTTCAGATACTCTGTTTTTAAAATCTTGGATTTAGGCGCCTGGGTGGCTCAGTTGGTTAAGCGACTGCCTTCGGCTCAGGTCATGATCCTGGAGTCCCGGGATCGAGTCCCGCATCGGGCTCCCTGCACAGCAGGGGGTCTGCTTCTCCCTCTGCCCTCTTCCCTCTCGTGCTCTCTGTCTCTCATTCTCTCTCTCTCAAATAAATAAATAAAATCTTTAAAAAAAAAAAATCTCGGATTTAGGTCCTCCTGTAAGCTTTTGGTTTTGAATCAACTTTGGAGACCCTCCTTCACACCAACAGCCTTGTAGATTAACTGAAAGATAGTAATGACCTGCATCCTGACATTCTCTTAAGGGTAAACATCTTGCCAATGGAAACTATTCCGAACCCATCAAGTCAATTACACTTTCCAGAAGCTCTGATTTTTATCACTGATCATTAATTTTATCAATCTACTAGTACTGGTTGAGAGCATCCCACATGTCAAGTATGACACTCTTACTCTCTGGGAATACAACAGTAAGAAAAGCGAACACTCCTCTGTCTTCATGAAGCTTACATGAGAGTTAGGGCAAAAAAAGACATTGATCGATGTATCTGCCATAAATCATGTCCAGGTACAGAAGGCAGTGCCACAAAGGAGAAGGATTCAGCTGTGTGGGAGCACACAGTAGAGAGCCTTGACCTAGACCTCGGTGATCAGGTGGGCTTCCTGGAGAAAGTGATGGTTGAGTTCTGATCCTAAGAACACTCAGACACATAGGTAGAGATGCAGGAGAGTAGCTTTCCTGACTGAAAGAAGACTTGTACCAGAGTTTTAGGAGGAAGGAGCATAATCTAAGGAAAGTGGTATAGCAAGTGCATAGAAAATGACTGGAAAGAATGGTGTGGTTAAGGTTTGTTTGGGTGTTTAGGAGCCATGGCAAGTTATTGAAAGGTTTTAAGAACAGGAATGAAATAACCAAATTTGCATTTATAAAATATGGCTCTGATCCCACGAGAGAAAAGAGATCTGAGGATAGCAGGAAGGAAGGAAAGTCAACTATTGGCAGGCTATTTTAATGGTCTGATAGCAAAGGCTAGAGGATGAAGGAGACAGAATGGCTGGCAAGAAATAGATGCACTTGAGATATTTAACAGAGAACTGTTCAGAATGCCAAATGAACCAGTAACAATTTTTAGAAGTTTTTGCTAATACAAAAGTTTAAAACAAAGTTATGAAGCAGTTTAATTTTAATTTCCTATTATTTTGGAGGATTAAAAACTTGAATACTGAATATACAAAGATGATATGAAAATTAAACTGTAGTTTTTTAAAAGTCCACAAAGTACAACAAAAGAAACATTTCAATGCATTTCTTTTTTCCTAATTTGGACACGTCAGAAAGTGTATCTGCAGATTTTAATTTAATGTTTCATCTTCTTGAAAGAATCTTAGAGGAAGAATAAAAGGAAAACAACAAGGAATTTAGAGGTGGATAAGTCCTTATATTTTTAAAAAAGGTATTATCATGAAACATACAAAATAGAAGAACAGCAAAAAAGTAAAACATGTTAAATATAATCTTCTTTCTTTGTAAAGACTGTGAGTGATAAAAAGTAGAGCTGGAGAGTATTTCTTCCTTTCATGAGCTGGTCAGGGTGGTTCTTTTATCATAAAAGTAAT